GCGGTCGAGGTCAACCCGAAAACAGAGATCGCCGACGAGCAGGAAAAAAGAGCAGCGCCAAATGATCTGCAAAACAGAAATTTAGATGCAAAATTGGGGATTTAGGGTTTAATTTAATTTTTGAGAATTAGACAATGTTTAAGGACCTATTTGCAATTTTGTAAATATGTATTTTTTTTTTTAATTGAGAAGAAATTAAAAGGGATTTTGTGAATAAGCCTTGATGATATGCTCGAAAATCCCTTTCACAGGGATTTTGTAAATTTTTATTAATTTTCACAGGATTTTTTTTATACATGTATATTAAAATAATAAATAAAAAAAATGAACAAATTGTTAAGCAAATAATGTACATTCTATGGTTTAATATAGTACTGATAATAATTAACACTGCATAATGCACAATATTGTTAAACAAGGTGCACATTAGTGACTACTAAACGGCACAATAATGTTATATCGAATGCACATTAAAACGTTTGGGAATGGACATAAAAAAAATATCATGAACGTTAGACTGTATAATAATGATATACGAAATACGCATTATTGTCTACGGGAATGCACAATTGCTGACATCCAATTTAAATTATCCACTGGAGGCGCGCCACGTGGACGGACAAGTGAGGACCGAGATTAGCAATGCGTCACATAAAGAACAGGCCGACCTCGGGCGCCCGAGAACAAAAAAGGACAGAAAAGAAGCCAACTTCCTCATGCTGATAGTCAACCGACGTATGCGATAAGCCGAGGTCATTCAGCACCGAGGTCTCCCTGACAGGAAAGTGATTTCCGTCAATAAACTGTCAGCTAGCACGTGCTCTCATCATTGCTCTCGGGCCCATTTTTAGGGTAGCTGGCTCTAAACCATCAACTCGCATTAAATGCCGCCGAATCTCCTCAAAAGACGGGCCAAAAGTTACTATAAATAGCCTCATTTAATCCAATACGAGGATCTTTTTCAGAGACATTGAATTCTAGCATTTAACACCTGGGTTACGATAAAAAGCCGACTTCTTGTATTGCAAAAACCGACATCAAAAAATCAATAAAAATCTTATCTTCTGCAATTAATCTTGTTTATTACGTATTAACATCGATGTTAAATTTCGCATAACAACAACAATTATTCATTATTTTATTTTATTATTATGTCTTTTCAATCAAAAACAATATAAAATATTAATTATCAATATTAAAATACTAAATATATTGTTATAGTATAAATAATAAATCATTTCGATTATAGATATTTCGGTTGACCGATCAAATATATCAATTATTTGGGCTCGGTTTTAGTTTGATTTATGATATGTTATTAAAAAAAGCATGCGTTATGAGTGCACAATAGTGTTAGACAAATTGACATTATTGACTATCAGATTCCACGATAGTAATCAATTATAATGTAGGGAGAATGTAAAAAGAGGGTTTGGTGATACTTTTATAGGAAAATGCCTGCTCGGGTGCCCGAATTTAGTGCTTATCCATATCCTAATCACCTCATAGTTAGATCCTAGTAACCTTTAGATTCCTTATATTCTCTTAAGATTCCTTCTTATCTTTTGTGCTTATTTGGCCTTAGGTCGTGATCCTCTATGAGAACATTCGCTCTGCAGTCTACCTCGAGCTATGAGATAGATTAGGTTATCCCTGGGGGAAGTCGACTTAGATATACTTCGAAGGTTGTATAACTTGATGTCCTCCTACAAGGTTTAGGCTGTTCTGAACTCAGGTCTTAGTCTTTTAGGTCGTCCTTGAGATTCCTCAGTCCCCTTAGGTTGTCTCCCCATAGTTGTGGATCGCCAGGTTGTCTTGTTCGCGACGTCATCATGTTCCCCCAAATGCTTCCCATAAGTCGACCTACTCAGGTCGACTTGTATTCCGACCGAGTTCCCTTCACTTAATTCGGTCAGCAGGTATGACTATCAGACTTTATCATATGTGCAAATATGCAACAAATGTAAAGATATAAGATAAAGCAATGCTTCAAAATAATATAATTTATAATAAGTGTCTTTACAAGTAGAAAGAGATCCAATCAAATTGGAACGCCGAGTATTCTACTCTAACACTATGCTTCTTCGAAAATGAAATTGGGATGGGAAAAATAATTGTTCACGCTTTTATTTCCAAAGAGAATTAGGACGGCATCATTATGTACTTTTTTGCTTTTATTTCCAACGTGAAACAAATGACACATCAATTAAGTCGCTGGACACGTTGGGCACAGTTCACCGGAGACCAAGTTAATTCTNGGGACAGATCGTGTGTCAAATTGACAAGACTCATAAGTCATGACAGAAATGAAAATTCAAAAAAGGTTGTGATGCCAAAGAAAATTTTGCCTTGAATATACTATATCAATTCGAAAAATGAAAAATAAAATTCCCTATACAATTATAAAATCACTTGCAATGCATATGCACTTTCCTAGTCCTCCAAAATGTGCGCATTTTCGTTTTTCTGTTCCTTTTTTCCCTTTATTATCTCTGGAGTCAGGGACTTTATTCTTTGATATCAAAATACTAATTTCAAGTGCAAGTCCATGAATTTTGCAAGCTGAAAACAGGGGATTCGTAATCGAACAATTATGGGTACAAAATATCAACCAGACCTGAATAATATAAGTAAATGTGTATATAAACCAACAGTGGAAAAAGCGGGTACAGACTCTCTAGCTCTTATAGGTACTCTGCAAGTATTTGATCACCATTAGAAAAACATGTGAACCCTTAAAGTTCTTACAAGTGCAGTTCTGGAAATGAGCATAATCAGAAGTTCCTAACGATCATTAATTTGCATATTTTGCTTTGCATGCCTCCGGCAGAAAGATTTAATCCTCTCAATGCCATCTTCGAGTGATTCGGTGTCAATGGCATAACAGAACCGAAGCCAGTTTTTCACTCCAACCACAACCCCTGTGAAAACAAACGCACCATGCTCGATTCAAGCAACGTAATTGGAAACTTTCAATGATATTTAATGTATAATAAATTATCTATATATTACGAATGTCACATACTTTTCAATTTTCAGTTTTTGTTTACATTCTTCTGTTGATCTACAATCATCTCAAATAACCGTAGGTGAATTCAATTCAGTTAGCCAACACTTGGGACAGTTTTTTTGTGCAACTTAACCTCGAGTCAGTTGTATGCTCTTCTGAAGTTAGCTGGGTTTTGGTATTATCAAAATCTAAAGGGTAGTTCCCAATTATCCTTAAGTAAAAATGCAGCAGAACTATGATTCACATTAGACATTTGGTGTTTTATGCTTACCAGGAACAAGAATGACAGACTCTTCTTTCGCCAGCTTGAAGCAGAACTCCACATCATCATCAATGTCTTCCAGCAGGGATGAGTCCAACCGTACCTGCCATTTTCATTGTCCACAGAACAGTCATTTGCCACATGTCAATGATAAAATACAACTGACAAATACAATTATTCTCACCATGGCAAACACTGCTCCTTCTGGTCTCTGTGGGCAAGAAAAGCAGGGAATTTCTTTCATTCTGTCGTACAAAATATTTGCTCCTTGCCTTAGTAAATTCAGACATTTCGCGAAGAATTCTTTTTCTGTATCCTGAAGGATTTGAGGAAGTGCTGCCTGTCGTATTAAAATAGACAGATTTTATTACCATACTATAATATCTTGATGAGTGTGGTCAATGGAAGTTAAGCATTTGGAAACCACTTCAGTGGCGAGATTGTTAAATATTTGGTTCTGTAGAATTGAGGACACCTTACCTTTGGTTCTGTAGCATTTGATAACCGCTTAAGGTCCATTATTGAAAAATGAGCAAAAACACATTCCATAAGAACCGGTATTGCATTCTTAATGTCGATATAAGGATGCGGAGGATCATTGCATTTCGTGTTCCAAATGAATCAGTATTGCATTCTTCAAATCAAGATAAGTATGCATATGATCATTGCATTTTGCGTGCGTAATATTCAGATAGTGAAACTTTTGGCTTAAGAGTTGCGAATTTAGTCCGTACGTTAAGAATTGGCAAAAATAATGTCCCAAAAGAATTGGCTTGTTATATTTTCAGTGTCGAGAGAAATATTCTAATGGAACATCAAGGGCCAAAAAGAACATT